TCGATGGTAGGAAGTCTCAATCACCCATTCATTGGGATGAATTGGGTGAAAAGAGGGTTGTAGTCCCAAGATTGTTGAGCGAACAATTCAGCTTGTCGATAAGATTCGGGTTCAAATAAATGTAGCTCAAGATCGGTAGAAAGTTATGCTAGTAAGAAGAGAAAAGATTTAAATTTCAAGTGGTGAATAAAGGCTTCTCGAAAGTACATCGATGAAAGGCTTGCTTCATTTGTGTAAGAAGGAAAAGTTAAGACCCCAATTTAATGAACTGTTTGAAATTCTAGAAAAGGTTGGAAATGTAGCCTATTGAATCACACTATCACCTGAACTTTTAACAGTGTACACTACAAGAAATAAGAGTTTGGCCGACCCAAAATTTAGTTACTAAAAGTCTAAAATGAGTAGGTATTAAAAATCCCTAACTAGGAAAATTTGATTGGTAGCTGGTTGCCAATAGTCAACCAGCAAATATTTTCACCAGCCAGATTGCATTTTAGTTGGAAAAGATGTAGTTTTTACTTACCAAACTTGAATTGGGTGGCAAACGTTTTCACTGACCATAATGAATTTTAGTCGGAAAATGATATTGTTTTTGTATTTACCAATACCAAGTTGGTTAGGAATGATAAAGTGTTTTGCTGACTTTTTTTTTAGTCAACAAAACTTTGACCATAGCTGGTAAAAATAGAGCTTGACCCATTCTTCGGTCGGGGAAAGTAAGATAAAGACTTTTGTTTCCTAAAGACAAGTTTGTCAACCATTTTTCGGGTCTGGAAATTCTAAACTAAGTTGAGAAATATATCAACTAACCATAATCGCAGGTCAGGGAAAATATACCTTTGCCGACCAAAATTTTAAGTTGGAGAAAATATACTGTTAGGTCTTGATACCTAATAATCTGAGCGATGATGTTAAACCAATGTTGGATAAAATAAATATCCCCGACCCTAAGACTATTTGGGCCATTGGAAGCAGCCTAATTAATTAATGTTGCTCATGGCCCGATACTACACTCATTGGATGGCTTTTATATGTTGGCCCACTTTTCGTAATTGTATTGGGCTTGGCCCATCTCTATGCCCCAACCTAACCTATATAAGTTGGCCCTTTTTGTCATTAACGGGTGTTTGTCTTGTTTGAGAGAAAACTAAGTCTGTCTCTTTCCTTTGTGCTCCTGCTTGGCCGATTTTCTTCTTGTTCTTCTCTAGCCTTTTTGGCACCGCCTTTGTGGCTATAAACACCGTCTCTTTGTGTCCTAAGTGGGTACAAATTTTGAGCAATCGGAGTGTGGAAGAAGTTTAAGGTTTTGGATTATGATTGCTTAGGTGTATTGATAAGGTTGAGATTGGTATCCTGAGTTAGAAATTTCACCAATTGGAGGTCGATTATTCAACATTTGGTATTAGAGCAAGGCTGGGGTGGAATTTCTATCAAAATCTGACCAGAATTGAAGCAGAAACAAGCCGGATTAAATTGTCTAGAAATTAAAAAAAAAAAAACTGGCATTGTAACCTCAATTTTTGTCCAATCCAGACGTCTTTTGATGAAACGGAAGCCGAATTCATGATCGAGGTGGAAAAGCTACTAGGTGGCCAGCGCGTCAGATTTTCGACGATCGCGCGGTGGGGCCCATGTGGCCCCCTCCGACGACGACTTCTTTAGACAAATTTTTTTTAACAATTTTGTGTTGTTAGTTTTTAGTTTCAAGATATACAGAACAAGTTGGATAGTTTTGCCCCTGGACACTCGGCTATTGGTTGTTGGACCTTCGTGTTGGCACATCTGCTGAATTTTAGGGCAAGTAGTGGCCCTAAAGCAGTAGATTAGCATCTCTCGTAATTTACGGACTCAAATAGTCCGCTTTGGTAAATTGGCTAAAACCTTTACATTATCGCACTAGCAGATTATCGTGTAAGGTGACCATGAGGATTGGTTGACATTGCTTGGCAATCATTGCTTGTGCTAGAAAATTTAGGAACTATCTGCCCTATTTGAAGTGTTGAATTTGATTGTAATTTAGTAATTGATTTTGTGCTATAATTGTCATATAGTCACTACTTGAGATTGCATTGTGTGAGAATTTTAATTTTTTGTTGACTTACGTTTTGCATTGATTATCCTATTAAAACACCTGGACTTGACCCGTTTGAAAATTTTCTTGATCTAAGATCGCAAATCTCACAAAACCTTGGGAATCTAGAACAGTGTTGTGGCATATACAAATCCATGCAACTCAATTCAACGACCCTTCGTCCTGGCCATTGTAGCACGTGTGTTGCCCTGGGCATAAGGGGTAGCAAAGTGGCTTTGCTATCTATTCTGTTAGGAACCGCGGATTTTTTGGTACATCACATCCATGCATCTTGCCCGGCGGAAAGGCTACATCTAGTACCGGACCTAATTTGATACAAATTTATATTTTTTGGGAATTGCTTGGAATGTATTCCTATGTATATTGCGGCTGTATGATTACTTTGTGTGACCTATCTGTACATTTAGTTGTTCTAATTTTCCAAGAAAAATCTCTTCACATTTCGAAGTTGGTGTTTTCAATGGAAAAGGAAATTTTTCAATTTGGCAACAAAAGATGAAGTGGATTTTAGTTCACCATAGATAGTGAATTTCCAGCAAATTTGACAGAAATACAACAAGAGGAATATGATAAATTTGCTTACACTTCGATTATCTTACAATTTATCTGACACTATTTAGAGAAAAGTTGGGAAACTGGATTCTACAAAAGAACTTTGAAAAAAGTTGGAGGATTTATATTTGCTTAAATCTACTCTTAATAAGCTATACTTGCTTGAAAGATTTTTCAATTTTAAAATGGATCCTTTAAAGGATCTTATCGACAATCTGGATATTTTTAACAAACTTGTTCAAAAAATTGTTAACCGTGATGAAAAAGGGTCTGAAACATATAAAGTAATTATCTTACTTAATTCTATGCCTGATTCATATAGAGAGGTTAAGAACGCAATTAAGTACCATAGAGACACCCTACCATCTAAGATTGTCATAGACTCACTTAGGAGTAAGGAAATGAAAATTAAGGCTGAAAATGAAGATAAAGGGGAGTGGTGAATTACACATGATAAGGGGTAGGATGAAGTTTAAGCAAATGAATTTGGATAGAGCTCAAAATAGTGGTGATTCGAGTAGTGACTCAAGTGATGAAGGTAGCAAGAAGAAGGGCAAGTGATGGGACAAGTCTAGTGGTAAATGGTGTTACAGTTTGGTATGTCTGAACACTTTATTAGGAATTGTCCCAAGAAAAAAGATAAGCCAAAAGATAATGTGAGAGGTGAGACGAATGTGGTTGAGGTATCGAGTTATGACCCTAGTGATGTTTATTGAGAGTAAACCTATTTACTGCATATGCATCTCTGTGTGATCCTTTTTGTATGTGTGTGATTGCCTAATTCTGTTGTATGATTATATGTTGCATTTCAATTTGTTTGATATGTGTGTTTGCATGAATTTGAGGTAATGTGATTAATTAGTGTGATTGTTTGCATGTATAGTGGGTTATGATACATTAGCATTGAGTTGTATGTCTTTTGGTAAGGTGGAGTATAGATGTCTAGGGGTACATTATGGTTTGTGGGGGGATGTGGAGTGTGTTGGATCACGAGTAGAGATGTGATCAAATGTCTAGAATCCTTTATCTGTGAAAGAGATCCTGTATAGGTAGAGTGTGAGAGAGACACTTCTATCACTTCAGAGAGGTGAAGACCCATTATCTACGTAGGCTGGGAGAAGTGATGTGGTGATAGAGGATTATCTCGAGAACTTAGGGTCTATTGTGTTTTGCGAATTAGACATGAGTTGAATGACTATCTAGTGAGCATAATGGGCGATGAGAAGAGATATATGTTCTCGAGGTGGGATTAACATGAAATGGGATAGGATAGGCGTGGTGAGATTTTTTGTGGGGTTATTTATGCATTTATTGCATATTTGTTTGATCGTGTGCTAATTAACTTGGTGTTAATCTTTGCCTCTATGTGAACGAGATTTTGAAAGGATATGTGTATTATTTTATATAATATCTTAATCGCGTGATTATTTGTTCACTGTGAATACTTGTTCCTACTTGGTACTTTTGGACCTCAGCCATAGTGAGTACATGGAGTAGGTATGATATGTATTTCAGGTTCGAATCACGATGTAAGTTCTGTGATACCAATTTTATTGGATTACCTTGATTGTGCAAATATAAAATTTGTGTTTTGTTTGCTTGCAGATTATTGGGCATCAAGGTGGAGATTATTGGATTTTGATGCCCAATAATCCAGGAGTTGATGTTAAATCGATGTTGGATAAAATAAATATCGATATCCAAGATTGATGACCCGACCCTAAGACTATTTGGGCCATTGGAAGCAACCTAATTAATTAGTGTTGCTCACAGCCCGATTTCTATACTCATTGGATAGCTTTTGTATGTTGGCCCACTTATCATATTTATATTGGACTTGGCCCATCTCTATGCCCTAACCCAACCTATATAAGTTGGCCATTTTTTGTCATTAACGGGTGTCTGTCTTGTTTGAGAGAAAACTAAGTTCGCCTTTTTACTTTGTGCTCCTGCTTGGCCGATTTTTTTCTTCTTCTCTAGCCTTTGGGGCACTGCCTTTGTGACTGTAAATACCGTCTCTTTGTGTCCTAAGTGGGTACAAATCTTGAGCAACCAGAGTGTGGAAGAAGTTTAAGATTTTGGGTCATGATTGCTTAGGTGTATTGATAAAGTTGAGATTGGTATCCTTAGTCTGAAATTCCACCAATTGGAGATCAATTATTCAGCATATATGTATGCAAATAAATTTAATCCTGATCAATCCACATTTCTCGACTCTAATTTCAATCGATAAATATTATTTTATTTTATTTTGACTTGTACAATAACCAAAATTTTAAAACAGATTGAAAGCCTAACTAAAACACAATAAAAAATCAAATCAAGATACATCAAAAATAAAAAACACGGCAATCACAATTCAAAAGCCGACAAACTAAATATAAGACAAAATAATATATTGTACCTTTACAGTTCACTTCTAGTTCCAAAATATGAGTAATTACATGTACGCGTTAGTACAAAATAATAGCATAGTCAATAAAAAGCCTTGTCAAGTTTCAAAAATGAGAAGACTAGTGTAGTCCAAACTTATAACATGTTCGATAATAGGGTACGAACTATTAAGATTTAAAAACATGTAAATGCGATGAAGAACTTGAAACTAATGATCATCATGTGCCTCATGATCAGGTGATGGTGATGGTTAGTGGGCACTCAAGAGCTAACTATTCCAGCAGTAGCACCTGGCATTATCTCCTCTAACAAGGCGAGAGTACGCTCATTCTGGCTCTGCAAGTTATGCACAACTTGACGAAGTTTAGCATTCTCTCGTTGTATCGTGTTCGCACGAGATGTAGCATGTGAAAACTTTAGCCCCCTACCCAAACCCCTATAATAGCAAGAAGTAGTGTCAAGGACCTGAGTCGCTATTTCATTAGGAGTGAGTTGTACTCCTCGACTCTCACTTTCCTCTCCCTCGACATGTGCCTCTTGTGTGGTTTGCATGTCTATCATCTCCTACTGCATAACAATAGGAAAGTATTAATGCAAATAAAGTAGTAAAATATTTTTTCCATTAATAATAAAGTTAAATAAAGACATAAGTATTTATTCATTACGTATTTCTCCTCAGCCATGGATGGATCCAACCTTTATTATCATTATAATGTGTGTTCTTCCATAGTTGAATTCTATTTGGTCGTCCAGTCCCATTATCCTATTAAAAGAAGTAAGAATAAGTGTTCATTGAATTGAAATTACCTTTCCAATAAAAATGGATATATTTCCTTACGTACCTCCATAGCTTGACATTGAATAAAGGACCTTGAACTAGAAAAATGGCTAAACTACTGTTGTGATCTATTTTCAACTGCTACCTTGGATATTTTCTGGGAAACACAATTAAATACAATTGAAAATAGTCAACAAACTAAATAAGGTAACAAATAAACATAAATACCAGTTAAAATACATATAAATGTACTTGAAACCGCTCACTTTCCCAATAGTCACACAAATAATCCCAATCAGCTTGGCCATGAACTTCTTTAGGCTTATTTGCTTTCCCATGAGCTATTGGTTGGTCTAGACACTCCTTGTAGTGTACGTGCAACTCATATCAAAACTCCATAAAGGAAGTGGCCATTGATTTCTCCATGAACTCTTTAAGAGTTGCATATTTATCATAATGTAAAAAACAGCCTATATATAATAATATATAGTGAGTGAAAAGAGATATAATAAGAGCTTCAAATAATGCATAAAAGAGAGTTTACCAAGCATTGAGGCAAGTTCAAGTATGTTCCATGCAAGTGTAAGTTTTTATCTCCAGTCAACTTCTCTTTCTTACTTTTAGAACCTATTACATTTGAACCATTAGATTGACCTAGATTTGAAAGTGTTATTCCCATAATTGTTTTCACTATCTTGCTCCGTAATTCATGAAAATATTTTGTAACCTCAAACCCAAGATGAAATAGCATAAATTAATCAAGACAATTCAAATCTAACTACAGTCCATGATATTTTTTTTGTTCGTTCAATATGGCTCTTTATGCATGTCTAACAACATGAGAAGCATATATACAATAAATAGAAACAAAAATTAGAAAAGGGATATTATCCTCATTTTATAAAGTAAATAAAATAAATTTAAGTGAATGCAAATTGGTTTGCATTCATATAGTTCAAGAAGTTCTATTTATGAGCAACCTAAACATAACAATTTTGTTTAAGAAGTTCTATGTTAATGTCACCTCCACTTTGTCGTAAATTGAGGAATTTTCAGATTCAGTCACATCTTTTCAAAACATCCTTTGGAGAGCTGCAAATATTCGAACACCAGATCCTATTTCAGATACAAATCGGCTAGCATTAGGACCAGTAGGTCACCCATCAATGTCTTCATAAATGATTTCCAGCTTCCTATGAGTGGCGTTAACTATTTGGGATGTGCCTATGCCACAAGTACGACCATGATGCCTACGTTTGAGTGGTGGCGCTACATGTGATAAAAGAATATGATGTCAATATAGGGAAAAAATATAGTATTTGGAACTGAAAAAATAGATTTACCTGTCTCCGTTGGTACAGTGGCAGTTGCAGGCTACATTACAGGTTCGAGTAGTGTGCTAGTTATAGTGTTCAACTGTGTTCTAGGAGTAGTCACACTGATTGGGTGTGGTGGCTTCCTCTTTGCTGGCATTGGAATAACCTACTCATTTTTCAAAATAATAGTAAAGATAAATACATGTTATCATGCATAGACTCAGCAGAGAGCACAGAATTAGAAGCATTTAAAACTTCAGCTTTTGTCATAAATGCTATTTACTTAATTCGATTAAAGGCCACTAAATAGCCTCTAATTATCTTAAGCACGCCATACTCAAATTTACCACAAAACCAGCATCATTGAATGGAAAAGTTCAGGGAGCCTTTTCTACTCAAACCCAAATCCTAAACCACCATCCTCTGTAGTTGTTTTGCTCCTCTAATTTATTCCAAATAAAAAACCTAACCACAAGTGAGGGAAATCAAATCAAATTTCCTCTGCAAAGATTACTAAAAACCACCATCCTCTGTGTTTGTTTAATTACCGACTGGCCATCATATGTAGTTTTGTGGGTTATATACAACATGGTCATAGAGCAAGGTTAGCTATTATCAAGTTGAACCCATGGTACTGGTCTGCTTCTCCCATAAGTTCCTCTGCAAATTCTTTGGGATCATTTTTGCTCTATAATACAACCAACACAATATTAATTCAAAATCTAAGAATAAAATCAAAATTTGCACTTTCACCTTTCAAGCGAAGATTTACCAATAGAAAAGATTTTTTTTTTTTTAAAGTAAAGAAAGACAGCAAATCATGAACTCAACTACTGGGAAATGCTATAAGGACCCTGCAAGAGACCTCGTGCAGTATTAAAGCATTCGTGACGAAGTTTTGCAATAAAATGTTTGCTAATTCAAAATGATTTGGAGAATGGCTTTCACTTAATTGAATCGTACTTAAAGATAACATGCTGTATCATGCCGGAATGGGGAAATGGAAAAATCACCTTCAAGAACCGAACAGGGAGATTTCCTCTGGTCTTGCCCCTGGAAATTTGATTTGATTTCCGTCACATTCGTAACGAATTCAACAGAAATTAATGATATTTTCCAAATACATACCTATTAAACAAAGATAACCACAATTAGTGATATGAAGGATAGAAATGACAGATTATTGAAAGAAAAAAATTGGGGATGAATGAACAATTATAGGTAAATCAATTGTACAAGTCAGAAAAATTTACCCCAATAAAGGAAACTTTTCACAGTAAAAACTCAAAAGAAATGATTTAGGGAATAGAGTTGAAGGATCTGAAACCCGCGAGTGTTGGAATATCCCGAGCTCTTGTGTGGGGCGATGAGAGGGAAAGTTGAAGTTTTTAGAAGATAGTGAAATTTTGTAGTCTGAGTGATTTTTCACCCCAAAAAATAATTTTTTAATTATTATTTTACTATTTTAACTATAAATTTTGACTTTTTTTTTCACAAGTGGCTTTCACTTTTTTTCTAACGATCAACAAATCAATTCTCAAAATCATTTCCAAAAGGGGGCGATAAGCGGGAATTGACATATGAGGGCTGGAGGAAATGAAATAAAGTCCCTGTTCGGCAATTATTAAAAAAAAATGTATATAATTTGTTTATTTCAAAATTTATTAAATTACAAATAAAAATACTCAATTAATTGAACTAATCTATATAGGAACATTGACATTGAATTATTTTAAGTTATTAATAGCGTAGTAGATATATTTATTAGGGATGGGCACTTTTTCCCAAAACCGATGAAATGGGACTAAAACCAAATAGAATCAATCGGTTCAAATCTGATTCCTCTATTAAATGGGTCAACTTTGGGACCATATATCAAGAACCCAACAGTTTCGGCCTGATTCTCGATTTTGCCTTGAGAACAATTAGTGAATTCGGTTCTTCCGAGTTTCTTTTTCTACTTATATCAAGATGTACTAGATCTATGAAAAATAGACCCAAAATAATGTCTTGATAAAATATCATTTTCTGTACTCTTCTTATTTCCTCTAATGGGTAATCAAAAATCAAACATAAATAATTTTATAAATACTTTACAAATTCAAAATTTTAATGTAACTTAATAAGAAAAAATATATTTTTAGTTCAATATTTCAAAAGAATTCAATTTTTTTTTTGTTATTTCCAACGTGACCGATCATCAATAATAAAGATCCTTAAGGATTGCGATAATCTGATTATTGTTATATGATTTTTCTTAAGAATTAATTTTCAATCGAAATTTTGATGCTTATGCTGTGTAATAGAAAATTATTTAAAATTAATGTTATTAATTATAGCATAAATAAATTTTATTGGTTTAATCAATTTATCATGCTAATCTCGATAGTCGCGTTCTTGCAGTGTTAGTTCACATCTCGGAATATATTTTCTACTTCCTGCATTGAGGAAGTACTACAATTTTTTATTCAAGTTTCACGTAAAGGTCTGAGTATATTGCTTTATATAGGAGCTTTGACATTAGATGTCACTATAATCATAATCGAACGTCTCGAACCAAAGGTTCGAGTCCAATTCATAAAATAAAAATGGAAACTTGAACTGTGAGTTATGACAAATGAATGTCAAAACTATATTCCTTAATAGGAACTTACAAGAAGAAGTGTACATTACACACTCGACGGATTTGAATCCAAATATGCTTATAAAATATGCAAGCTTTGTCAATTTATATATGAATTGAAGCAAGCCTCTTGGAGCTGTGATCTTTGATTTGATAAGAAAATCAAAACGTTTGGTTTTATGAAAAAAATGAAGACAACCTATGTGTTTACAAGAAGAAAATGGGAGCACTATCATATTCCTGATATTGTATATGGATTACATTGTAATAGGTAGTAATATCCATACACTTCAATCGTTGACAATGTGGTTGTCAAATAATATCTCTATGAAAGATATAGTAGAAGCAACTTGATCTATAGAAATAAATCTAAAAAATTGCTAAACTCATCCTAATCTATATAGATGAATTCTAGAGAAGATTTTTTATGGAGAAAATGAATCGAGAGTTCATGGATACGGTGATGCTAACTTCTAGTTAGACTAGAATGATAGCACATCTCAATCATAATATTGGTTTACTCTAGCGATGTGTTAGAAAGGTTCTAAACAAGAACAATCATTGATTCAATAGCAAAATCCTTATATATCATTGCTATAGAAGCAACAAAGGTTGTGGTCTGGATTAGGAAGTTAATCAATAAACTCGAAGTAGTTTTTAACATTGTTAATCACACGCTTTTGCATTATAATAACAATGCAGCCATTGTGTAAGCGAAAGAACTAAAGTCTAATAAATGATCTAAACATATGTTATGGCGGTATCATTTCATTTGAAAGATAATACAGTGAAATGATTTAAAGAAAAAAACCAATTCTCACAAGTTATGAAATTGCAGATCCACTAACAATGAGTTGTCATAGCATAAACATGATTTTCATATAAGACTCTTGTGATATTAGATATATAAGTGATTGAATCTAGTGGAAGTGAGAGTTTGTAAGCGTTTTGCCCTAAATCCAATCAAATTTGGACATAAACACTTTTAATATATAATTGATGTATTTCATTTATGGCACACTTGTTATTTAATTTAATTAGTATTCTAAAACATTAAATGATAGAATTTGTATATTCAAGTCTTGACAATTTGCTAATAACAAGAAATTGTGATTGTAAAACACAAATTACATATGATGGAATCTTAAATGATCCGCGGTCATAATTAATAACGAGATACGAATATCGTTATTGTGGATAGAGTATTATGTGTGACATTTCTTACTTGTGAAATAAGTAGTTGATCTCACAGATTAAAGTGTAGTGACACTTAAATGAACACGTGGATATTTCATCATAGGTATAATTCTTTATAACAGTTTCTCTCTAAGCACAAAGAAGATCCTTGGTACGAATTGAAGATTTTGTTCAAATTTTGCTGTGCATGTTAAAGTAAATTTCCAACAATAAATTTTAAGATAGTTGAACTGCTAATTTAAAAAGATTTTCCAATTCTCAAATCCAAAGTTCAGCTGGGGTGCTTGCTCCCTTATAGGTACATATATATCTTCATGAACATAAGATTTTTTGAATTCCTTTTAAAATTCTCCCTATTCCCAATTTTTCTAAAAGTTCTCCTTAATCAGCTCATAATTGGGGTAATCATATCCAAAATACATCATTAATTTCCACGTGATGAAAACTATTTACTTTGTGGTCATCAAATAGTTTTCTTTCAATTATATTATATTCATATATTCAATACCATATTTTTCTTATAACATTTGACATTTTCAAATAGTTTTTATCAATTTTACTCAGTTAGTGCAACAAGTATGAAGTATATGATAAAATTGAAAAACATCTTAGATTTTTTTTGAGATAAATATTATTATTCACAAATTCTCACATTATTCTACAATTTTCTCTTCATTTGTTTGAAATTTAAAATTTTAAGAACATAGAAATGGAATTTATATTCATTTTTACAAAATAAAATTTCATTGTCAATAATGTGTGTACTCAAACACACTTTTGACATAGCCAAATATTTTTGTCTGTAAAAATCCAAGTATATCCACGTGCTTGCCAAAAAATTGATGTTTACCTACCGATTTGGAAAAAAATTATGAATCAACTTGTATTTATTTTGGTCAGTAAATCGACTGATCCCATCAAATATTTTTGCCCAAAATAAGTACTTTACCGATCAGTTTTATTTGATCAGCAATTGTTTATATCGAAAGCCGACTAATAATTTTCTCGGTCGGTAAATACTAAGGCGCGAAAAAACTCCTGCCACGGCAAAAGTGAGATATTCACCGATCCTGTTAGAATAGTCAGCATATGTGTCTCATCTAGGTGACTAATATATTGTCTTGGTCGATAAATGTTACGGTGCCAAGTAAAATAGATACTTACCGACCAGTTTTTTACATTTGTCGGAAAAGGTGTCTCATGTAGGTCAACTAGTATATTATCATGGTCAGTAAATGTTAAGGTGTGAAGTTAAAATAGTATATCTACCGACCCATTTCATAGTGGTCGGCTTATATGTACGTTATAGGCCGACTAATAATTTATTTGGTCGGCAAATATATTTTTTGACAGCTAATTTGTAGCTGGTCCGGAAAAATTGGTCGGAAAATATGATTATTATTGACAATTTCCATTTGGCCGGGAAAACTGTGGTTGGTAAAAGTTTACCCAATTAAAAAAAAAATTTGGGCAGTAAAAGTGGTTTTTTACCGACTAATTGTCATTGGTCAGAAATAGCTGGTCGGGAAAACTATAGTTTCTTGTAGTGGTATAATGTGTTTCATATCTCCATGCTTAGAAAGCACGTCATGATCCCAGTCATGTGGTAGATTTTCAATTTTTGAAAGTACATAAAGATCAGACGTATGAGGAAGCTCCAACAAAGATATCAGTAAGAAAGAAGGTACATGTGTTTAGGGCAAAGAGATACATCTAATATAGGCACAGTGCCTTGATCATGGATTAGAAGATACAGCTTCGGAAAAAAAGAGGATATCAAACACAAATATGAAGAACTTTTTGACTAAGATAATTTCGAGAATGGAATTCTTTTAATGAGGAAGGGATATGATATCCTAGATATATTGAATATTGAATATGATAAAATGATTTATGCATTGTTGCAGTTGTTGCATGGAAATAAGTACTTTGAGTTTAGATTGAAACTTCAAGGAAAGTTAAAGACAAAGTGCAACATCTTGAAGTTTGTGGACTCGAGTTTAAATAAGGAAAATATTCATTTTATACAAAATAGAATTTATATAGGACGGACCCACATAAGTCATGTGGGGTCAAATGACCCCACAAAGCTTTTGGTAATTTTTTTTCCAAAAAATAGTTATTTTGACTCATTTGCGACCTAATTTGACGCACTCATTATGGAATGTCAAACAAAGTCAAAATATTGCATTTTTAATACAATTTTGAAGCACTCATGGCCTAGTTCTTCGCTTGTTAATGGAATGTGAACCAACCAAATGTAGCAAAAGTAACGACGCACCAAAGTATGCCGTTCCAAACGAGTATTTCAATAATATTCAAAATTTCAAAATTCACTGATAACAGTATACTGTCCGAATTCATAAATTGTCTACGTCATCTAGAAGCTCATTTTGAGAATTAAATCGTAGTCATATTGAATTCTCTAAACAGGCATCGAAAATAGTTAAATATGCATCAAGGATACGTCTTAAAAGAGGTGTCTTAACTCGTTTTTCTTTAAAAAATTTCAATTATTTCATTAATGTTTATTATTTTTGTGCAATAAATATTTTAATATAAACTACACCATTTTATTAGGAAATTTTACATGGAATGTGAAGTCAAGAATTTTACGATCGTTGAGGATTAAACGTAATTCGAATTACTTTTTCGTTAAATTTAAATTTCATTTACTTTCTAGATCAAATGTTGAATTTGTTTCAATTCATTTACTTCTTTTATTCAATCTAATTTATTCACTGTCAGCTTAATTTTTGTCAACAAAATGATAAATAAAATTGTACAAGTAGCAAAATCCACTTAAGAATATTGATAATGATATAATTATAAGAAGTTTTCAAAGTACAAAATGTGTATTAAGTTCTTTTCTTTAATAATATATTATTTTTTCAAAATTTTTTTTTTCCACTTTTATTTTGACCTATAGCGCAAAAAGTTTGGATCTACCCTTGAATTTATATGATCATCATATGAAGGGTTTATGTGTTTTTAACCTTATAATTCATATTTCAAAGTATTTGGATAAATTTATCTTTAAGTTATGAAATGAATATTCATAATGATTCGAATTGGAAATTCGAGGCACTATAGTTTTCAAGTCTAAAAGCTGACTTCAAGGCTCTCAATGGCGGTAGAATATGGAATGGAAGGAAGATTTTCTGAAAAATCTGACGTCTATAGTATTGGTATTCTAATGTTAGAAATTGGGAGTGGGAAAAACAACACCAACTTCTACAATCACAAATGGTTGCAGAGCCTTTTGGGCTGTGTAAGCCACTTCGTAATCTACCCCCTTTTTTGTGTTTTCAAATATTTCTCAGGATCTTATACATGATAATTTGTATCAGCATGGAAATTATGGAATGAAGACAATGGCTCCACCTTCATAGATCAAACAATATACAAGGCCGTATTCCAGGGAGAGATGGTGAGGTGCATTCACATTGCACTATTGTGTGTACAAGAATTTGCTAATAAATGGCCTACAATTTCGACTATACTTGCAATGCTCAATTGGAAAATTGTCAATTTGCCTCTATTGGAGCAACCGATTGTTGCTGAGAAGTGGAAATGGAGTCATGTCACCTCTTCCGAGACGGAAGTCTCCATTAACGATGTCACTTTTACAATGCTCTTTCACATTTTTAATAAAATCCTCTATTTAGTTACCTAAGTTTTCTTGTTTACTGTTTCCTTATGTTACATATAATAGTTTGTCGACATTAGATCATTTATGTGTAATAATCATGAGTTGTGTTCGTCCAATTATATGAGGTTGAGATGGGCTACTTGCATTTTACCGGACATCAATTTAGTTTGCACAAGTTTGAATGTAACTTTTTCAATAAATTATGTTTAATATTTATGAAAATAAAATATAAGATATATCGTCCAATTATAAGAATTACGGAAAACTAATTCAGTGTTCATCCAATTATTATTATTATTATTTTTTCCCTTCATCCAACATGTTCACTTTTTAATTCCAATCTCCGTAATGGTAAATTATTTTTACTGTTTATGAAAATGAAGCACAAAATGCAAACTTTGAAGGAAGATGATCAAACCTCAAAAGAAATTTAACTAGTCCAACTAAATGCAAATCAAACAATTATAAAACTCACATTTTAAAGTTTTTGGTGCCTTGTTACCCTCTTTATAATAAAAGATGCTGACCCCAACTCGAGACCAAAATCGACTAAGTCCATTTTGGTAAATTTCAATCCAAACCGACCCAATCAAGATCTTAAACCGAACAAACCCTGAACTTAATTGATTTGAATCAGTTCGATTTGGTTATTCGGTTTTGTCTTTGGCCTAAGTGAATTAAAAAAAAAAAAACTATATAAAGATTTTTGGGCCCAATTTAAATACGGCTAATCTTTTTCTTTTTCCAATTAACACAAGTGGAAATTACACATATTAAAACGATCAATTCAAAAATTGGATTTGAAATTTTTTTGTTCAAAAATAATATAATAATTTAAAATTTTTAAAATTATAAAATTAAATAAATCTACAAACCCACCAACAATGAAACCCTCGCCCCACCGAATTTCAGACCCTAAAACATTTTCATCTCTTATTCCCGTCCCTCATCTCCCTCTCCACTCTCCTTTTCTGATTTGTGATGAATAAATAATATGTGATATCAAAAAGTGTGATTGCGACTCACAGTTTATTAAGTTTTGATTGGAAAACAAATTTTGTGATCAATTAATTTGATAATTTTTAACCGTTAAATAAGTTGTGACTTATAAAATTTGTAATTTGTGGCTAATAAATAAATTGTATATAAAATTTTTGATTTCATGATCGATTAATAAATTGTAACCTATAAATTTTTTGACTTGTGATCGAGAATTAATTTGTGACCTATAAAAATTTTTGAGAAATAATTTGTAACTAATTAATTCAATAATTTGTGATCAAATTGTATAGAATTGTGATATTAATAACATGTATTTATAATTAATAATTTCAAAATAAAATTTAATAACAACTAATTTTTGAAATTTTATACCTTGTTTTTAAGTTTTAAAATGGGTCATAGTTTAACTTTAAATATGAAATTTTGCCTTAACACAAATCCATAATCTGTTTATTAACACTCAAAATTTTCAATTAACACAAATCCATAATCTGTAAACTGTAAATAAAGCAAATTCATAATATATTGTCAACACAGTTTCACTCAAAGTAATGCACCAGATTTTACACCAGAAATCAATAAAATTGAAAGAAAAACTGGGTAGAACCTCCAGTACCCATTTTATCCATTTACCCATTCTACAGTTGACTAATTCAAATAAAAAACTCTACCTGACTCCATTCGAATGGTCGAAACTCTAGTACATCAAGGATATATATTCAATAACTAGAGAGACAACTGGTAGAGGAGATGGTAGAGACGAAGGACAGCGGCACCGACGACACAGGCAATTTGATATTGATAGTTTTCACCTTTTTGGGACCACAGAGAAGATGAAAAGAAAATTGAGCATGTTTTTTAATATTAGGTATCGAATTTTGATTTATTTAATTTTTTTAGTTAGGCTTTAATCTTGTAAATGCAGTATAATAAAATTTTGGAACTCTAAACAAACCTTTAAAAACTTCGAACCCTGGAAACTTCACTAAAAAACTAGGACTCTAAAAAATTATATTCGGGTTAGGTAAGGTCGGTTAACAATTGGGTTGGAGCCTTAACCCATAATCGACCCAACCAATCACATTAGTGGTTTCATATTAACCAATGAGAATCGATTTGCTAGACCAAACTGACTTGAGTCTGTTCGGTTCATACGGTTTGGTTTATATTTCGATTTTTTCCCTAGGCATACTCCCTCTCCATTTGGAGTATATTATTATAGGTTAAAACTAGTCATGGAAATATTCTTTTCATCCTGGTGTAATGAAAATCAGGCCAGATAGACCGGTTCGGCTAAAAAATCGAGAACTGGGCTAAAATCCGATTTCATCATACGGTAAAAACCGGAAGAAATCGGTAAAAAATCCAGTAAACTATCTTGTTCAATTGGAAATCGGGGAATCGGATACGGTTTTCTCAGGTTTTAAATGTTGATATTTTGTAAAAGGAAAAAAGAAAAGAAAAAAGGGTAAAGCACATAACAAGGCTTCACCACCATGTCTCTGGTCTGCCAATGGTCACCGAAGCCCTCACCATCTTTATGGTGAAGCCCAGGGCCGGTCCTGTGATTGTCGGGCCCCGAGGCGAAATCCAAAAATCAGGCCCTCCAAAATCAACGTAAATGGAAAATTCAACGGTGTATTATGCAATATATTGCCAACTTAAAACTTAACATTAGAACAAAAAACAAATTCTCAATCATCTCACAATTAATGAAAAAACTAGTTTCCTTTTCCTTCTTCTAATATTAAAAAAAAAAAAAACTTTTGGGCCAAAATAGGCCCCCTATGGTTTTGGGCCTGAGGCACAGGCGTTATTTGCCTGGCCATAGGACCGGCTCTGGCGAAGCCTTTGTATTCAATTTCAGTCAAAATATTGAAAACTTAGACTAATCTTACAAAGAAATGAAAATATATAATATACAAATGAAGTAGCAAATGGGAAATCCACCAAATATATACAAGAAATTGATGGATAAGAGAGAGTCATTGCCTCCGCTGTAGGAAAACTTAGAGGAAATCGCACTGTACAATTGGAAAGAAATGAAACTAACATAGCCTTGGATTAAATGGAAAATGACAGGATTTAAAGGCTGTTTGGGAGTGATTTTGAGAATTGATTTTTTGATTGTTAGAAGAAAAGTGGGGTCCACCCGTGAGAGAAGAAGTCAAATATGAGGGCTGAAATAGTGAAATAACGGTCAAAAAATCAATTTTTTGGGTGAAAAAATGGGGCCCAAACAGGCCCTTAAACTTTTAAATATATGGGCTCATCTGCATCCTAAAGTAATTTTTGGTCCATTTAGTTCTCATTTTAATTATATACGGATTAATCAATGAATTTTAGAATTAAATTACTAACAGATAATTTTAATTATATAAATTATTTAGTTATTTTAATTGTCATGTCGACCTCGGTTCAACCTCGATTCAACCGCTTGACCCTTGAACTTTACTAGGTTGATGATTGTGCCGTTTTCAAAACATTGATTCATCCTTAAACTCAACTTTGTTGAGATATCTCTTGTTTGTTCGTTATTTTCAAAAATTTTTAATTATTTTATTTATTTAAATCATTTTTTATTATTTATTTATTTATTTTATTATTATTTGCAATGGTAAGATGATTCGTTCATCATCGACTTGGAGAACCATCTTACCTACATAGACATTAATAAATGCCCTGTCAGTATCCTAAAAAGGTCAATGCAATATTATAGGAATATCTAAAAAATTATATATATATATATAATTTTTTTTTTTTTTTGGCAATGGTAAGATGATTTGTTCATCGTCGACTTGGAGAACCATCTTACCTACATAGACATTAATAAATGCCCTGTCAGTATCCTAAAAAGGTCAATGCAATATTATAGGAATATCTAAAAAATTATATATATATATTTAATTTTTTTTTTTTTTTGGCAATGGTAAGATGATTTGTTCATCGTCGACTTGGAGAACCATCTTACCTACATAGACATTAATAAATGCCCTGTCAGTATCCTAAAAAGGTCAATGCAATATTATGGAAATATCTGCATCTTCCTCCATATTCAAATTGATGAAATCAGTTGGACATATGAATTTGTCAACCTTTACCATATGTCCCCAATGATACCTCGAGAATATTTAGGTTGTGTTTGTCTACCATTTTTCCACATTATTTTTTCTACAGTACTCATTTTCAACCACACATTCTTCATCAAAATAATATTATACGTAAATAAAAAAATTCCTTCTTTTTTAACCACGCGTTTCAATATAAATCATTATTCCATAATACATTACTCACAAATAATATGGTACAAACAAGCATCTAATAGATCGATTTACAAATTGAAGTGACATTATGTTGGTTTTTCTTTTCCCATTCCAAGCTTGATATGCACATTTTAGGGCATTAAAATAATATTTGCACCTGGGTCACATAATTCGACCTCAAAATAATTAGAACAAACAGTATAAGTGTCTTCACGTACTATCTACATTGCATGCACTATAATATTGTTAGTGGGACTTAACTGTATATGTGAAATTTCGGATGGCAATCACATATTAGTAAGGCAACTTTGAACATGAATTGACCTTGTTTATTAGATCTAAGCTAAAGTTTATTCTCTATAATAAAAAGCTCAATATCTTAGGTTCTTTTTCCGATCCTATTCGACTCAAGCGATTAAGCCTGCGATGTTTCTCATAACCTGGTAAGCCTATGGTCAACTGACTTGGTATAACCAGCTAAAACTAGCTATAGAGATCATCTTAGTCACTTAATGGAAAATGATATACACTTAAAATGTAAAAATATGTTAAGCTTAAAAAATATTGAAAGATCTGAAAAATTTATGTATGCTTAAAGTCAGGGGGAGAAAAGAAAATATCCATACAAAATAAGCTTTTATTTAAAGGTCATATTGTGCTTTAAATGGTTTGAATTTCATAAGTAGATGAATAAACTTATTGGCAGTGATGTTTAATATATCTCTTCTCACAAAATTAAGGTTTGGAGTCTTGCTTACA